ATTAATTTATGATTTATTAAAAAAATATGTGTTTTCTTGTGTATCAAACATTTCATGGTCCAACTGTTCTTTCATCAAATGTTAACCTTTAGAACCTGTGTACAATTACTCAGTAATGGCTGTGCATTCCTTTTTCTGGATCACAATTATTCCCACTTACATGTTTAGATGTATGAGGTTACTATACTGATTTGATATTTGTATTTCATAAGGTGTTTCCAGGAAATATAATATCCATAAAAATTCAACGGACGTTATGTCAGAATGTCTATAGCTCTAAGTAATAACTGAAATATTTTAGGTAAGTATTATATTGTAATTACTTAGATTTTTTTCTCTTTGTTCTGCTAGAGTGTAGATTTTTGCATTTAGAAAAATAAATATTAAGTAACACCAGTGGAGCCCCTGATACATATAGACATAGATACATAGATCAATTTATTTTCCCTACATTGGCCTAAAATTAATCACAAGTTGAGCCCATTTTGAGGTGTGATATGACAGGATAATTTAAGCATCAGTCATGAGAGATCTGACCCTGCTTTAAAATCGATTCAATCCTTTAACTGTCTAGCAACAGATCCAAATAAATTAAAATACATTTAAAACTGCTAGATAAAAAAACAACAACACTTAAAGCAATTTTATCAATTGATTAGGCTCTCAGAAGGACCTGAAGAGACTTGACGATTAACCATTAGTATGTTTGCCTCTTTTTGTTGGAAATAAAAGCGTTCTTATGGAATTCTTTGACGTGTTCCTGTTTTTTTTTTTCATTTGTGGACTTAATGCTTTTTCACACTGAATGTAAACAAAAGTTTTGAAAGCACATGAACTGTCAAACATGACAGCATAAGGAAAAAAATAATTTCGTAGTTGTAAACCAATTATCTCAAATAAATGGAGCACCAGAGAGTTTAGCCTTGAGGAGTTTATTCCAGTCACATCGGTCTAGTCTGACATTGTCACCAGAATGCATAAAAAAAACCTTCCTTTAAAAAAATACGTATTGGAATCCAGAGTGCTTTCACACAAAACTTTTACTTTGCTCTGGCCATGTTGTTTTTGTTTCCACTTTGAGGTCAAATACAGGACCATTGACGCAGAGAGACAATTCCTCCCACTGCAGCCAGTCAATCAAGGTCCCAATTTCTCCCACTCAGAGGCTGAGTGTGGGAGAGAAGCATCCATTGCATAATTAATAAAGCTAGGATTTTTAGCAATAAACTATGACACAGCTTCTGTGTTTTCTAACTTATATAGAGTCATGAGGTTTAAACACAAAGTTGCTGGAACACGATGGGAGAGTGTGAAAAAAAAACACTTTCTAAAATCATCCCACATCCCCATCCAACGTAAAAAAAAACGGAAAAAAAAAAAATGTTTCCATATAATCTGAGGACTGATGAGAGAAAAGCCAAACTTTTAGGAATAAGTTTGCCCTTTTATATCTTGTTTATTGACAGTCAACAGGTGTGTTTTAATGTTTAATGTCTTGATTATGTGATGTAAATGAGACTGTAAATGCTGTTAAAAAAGAAAAGAAAACATCCTTCAACTTCTTGATGTTTACCTTCCAGGTTATGATGATATTGTTTGAGAATTACCTGCATCAATCAGTGAAATGGGGTATTTTACTCAAACAAACACTAAACACCAGCACACCACTGCCTAAAACACATATTGTAGCAACAGTAGCAGCCGTTTGTCAAAGGTTCTCAACAAAACAGATGTAACCATATCATCCAAAGTGAAGTCTCTACTACCTGGCATTTAATGTGACAAAAAGCCAGTGTTCACCACAGCTTTGAAACCCACATTAAAGTATAATTATGTACCTAAAAATGGTATATGTTTGCACGATCTACCACTGTCCTTTCTTGGTAACATGCTAAATTTTCTAATTAAACTGAATGGGCAAAGTTAACTTTACTCTAATTAAGGCAGAACGGTTCACTTCCTTGTCAAGGAGAAACATGGTAACTTCACCGTCCCTTATTAAAATCTTTCTCCTTCATTAGCTCCTTCCACCTGGAAAAGGCTGGCCTGACGTTTATTCTCTTTTTGTGATATCTCTGGTTTTGTTGTCTTTGAAGTTCTCCATTTCACTTTTTTTGAGGATGGTGAAACCGTTTCTTGTGCTGCTGCTGCATATGTATCGTCCTGCAAAGTGCTGCAGTAGTGTCAGTATTGGGAAATGTTAGTCTTCATTATTTTTTGTGTGCGTTAGTCCTATTTTATCCCTTGCCAGCGTCTGTACTTTCAAAATGGCAGACTGTCATGTTGCTTTGCAAACAGGTGCCCAGCCTTATGTTTTAACTAATATAACATTCTTTGCTTATTAAAATGTACCTGGTTATTAGTGGAGGTAATAAGTTATTTTATTCCATTTTCTTATTTTACATGGGAAGGGTGTAATTTTACGTATTTTATCCTGTCTTGTTATTAGTGTGGCACCGATGCCATGTTTTTGGCCCCGATACCTGGCTGTGCAGTATTGGCCGATACCAATACCATCTGTTTGAAATTTTCTGCATCATTAATATATCTACCTAAACCAAACTGAATTGAATTGGCCCACTTGAGAACTTAACTGTATATGTCTAATCCACTACTGATGAAGGCACCATTTATCTTCATTAAATATCTGTCAGCAAACATGAACTTGAAAACTGAAAACTTGAAATGTGCAACTTTAAATGGAAAAACAAAAAAAAAACAACTTACAAACATACATGTCTGTGTTTATTGTTTCTATTTCGGCCCATCCTATGATGGTGTGATGGTGATGATCCTACTGTATGAGGCGTGTATATCATGGCCAGATGGGAGAGCTGGATGTTCATTTTTTTAACAGTAAACGGTAGCGTCTCAGCTTCATTTTTGCTAAGTTGTTGATCAATTGTGACTGGCTTAATTTGGAGAGTTCTCCTCTCTCAACTCTGCTGTGAGAGTGGAGCTGTGGAAGCAGACTATGAGGGTGGAGCTGTGAGAGTGGAAAATTAATTAATTAAAAAAATCTGTGCCCTAGGCATAGCCAGGCACTGCAGATCCACAAAGGGGCACATGCCCCTGTGAAAAGGGTCTGCCAACGCCGATGGTGGACAATGACTCTTTGACTAAAAAGAAGTAAATGATTATTTAAAGTGGCCTATTCAAAGCCTGGGCCAAGGGGATGTGACCCTCAAGCCGGGCATACACTGTGCTATTTTTTCAATTGTTCCACGCAGCCACAGCTCAAATTGTACGACTCAACTCTGCAGTGAGATGGCGCTACTTGGACTACTCTATCCGGAAGCCAAACCAGTTGAAGAGGAATATGAAGCTCACTAGAGTGAACCACTCTGCCTTGGAAATTTGTTCGATTTTGTGCTGAAAGCCCTAAGAAGAAAAGGCGGCAATGTATCTGGACAAAGACATGGCTGAGCAAACGTGGCTACTACGGTCTGTCAATTTTACAGAAAGAACTCCATTTCATTCGCACCCCCGCCATGCCTCTGTGTTTACATCTGAGAGGACGAAGAAGAGTCCTTGTTTGCACACTGAGTGATTTGCCCACGACGGTCGACTGAAAACCATACGTCTGATTTTCTCCCGCCCTCACAATTCCTGATCAGGAGGTGGTCGTGAGAGGCTGATTGCCCCTGTATGCTACACAACCCGCGACGCACAATCAGGCTGAAAGTCGAGCTAATCAAAAAATTGTTGCATGACTGGAAAGTCGGCCCGAAAAAGGCAAAAAAATCGCACAGTGTATGCCCGGCTTAAACAGGCTGTTCAAACAGGAAACCCCTGCAACAGGGCTGTAATAAATCAAGTCCAAAGAAAATGGTGGATTAAAACTACTCAATAGAAATTTAAAGCGTTGACTGCTGTTTTTAGAAATGCTTGATTGCAGTCAAGCTAATCATTGATGGCAAATTGAATTATTTGGTTTTAAAGGCATTTTTTTTATTTATATGACCAGGTTGGTCCTGGTTATACAGCCTCTGATTGGTGCAACTCTTGTTCTGCTGTTAATTCTGGTTTAGATCAAAGTAAACCAGACTAATCTTCCTGTGCCGTTCTTAGCTTTAAACCTATCAAGCCAGTTTCCTTTAATATCTCTGTTTCAGGCCAAGGCTCAGAGATGTTTAGACCTACAGTATTAGAACTTGTTAGTGTTGACCTGGTGTTTCTGATGGATGTCTGCTCAAAATTCTTCAGGTCGGATTTCCTTTCATTTAAATGATGATGTTAATATCTAGCATATGTAGAACATCTTGGTTCATCCACCCATCTGAATACTTCCAGCTGTAGAACTTGTTGCATTTCATTTAAAAGCTATGATTTTATTATTTAAATTGGCAAAAAAAAAAAAAACTCATGACATTTGTCTGTAAATGTGTAGAGTTCTGAGAAATCTAACCTTTTGTGACCCTTGATGAAACTTACAGATATAGCAGAATCTCACATGATTTCTTTAGTCAAAATTTGTTTAATTAAGTGTAATAGTGATTTACTGTAGTTTGAGACGTGCATAAAAACAAAAAAACAGTTAAGGTCTCTGTGAAGGTTGAAGGAAAATAAGGCCAAAAAGAAATGAAGCCAGTTACAAATAAAACTGTGTGTAGGTTTTATTGCAGCACTTGTTAAGCTGTTCCCTTGATTGCTTCAATTGATTTCTGGTGTAGAATTTGTGGTATCGGCAGCTATGATAAATCAATAGTTCTAGTCATCTGGAAGAACTTCCATCTTATTAAGCTGAGGCGGAAGCTGCTTTCTATTGATACATTAAGACGCTTTTCTGTTTATTAATAGGAGGCTGCATGCATGCGCCTCCACATGCCTGGCTGTTTGTGTATTTTAGATTTTCCTTCATTAATTCGTGTTCAGTTTTAAATGGCATCTCTGTTACAGTTATTGTGTGATTGTTAAATATATAAAAACCATTATGTTTATATAGAATATTTCAATAAACTAAAATCATCTATTTTATGCCTCATGTCTCATTCATCAAGGTCCCTAGAAAGGAAGCTGCAGAGACCCCTACTGGCGAAGTCTCGCACCCTCCCAAGCATCCCCCAGTCTCCAACTGTTTCCAGGGTCCACCACTCTGACTTGATTGGTGGGAGTCCTCCCCGCAGGAAAACACCTCCGTCTCCCACTGGCCAATCAAAGGCCTGCACTCTGCCTCCTGCAGGTAAACCGATAGAAGAATCTAAAACATAACGGCATCCATAATTATTGTAGGTTTTAGGGGTTTATTTTAGGGGTGGAGCTTAAATACAAGTCCCTGAGGTGAGTAAACATTAGATGATGTACATCTTCAACACAGATTACCTGACACCTGTTACATGAAAAACCTGCCGCTTTTAATTAGATGAAACCGTTAATGTGGCAGCTTTTAAATATTAATGTTCATATGTAATGCAAACTGATCAGTAACCATCTTTTGGGAGTTGTCCACCTCTGACAACACATGTAGCAGCTTTGTGTTGGAATGCTAATGCTTGTACAGACAGCAGATGTACAGGCTGGCTTCAGCTCTTATTTTTACTTCTTTCTTCCTATTAAGCTGCTATCAATATTATAAGCATCTCTGTTTTGGCAATATTACAATATCCTCTAATGAGGAAATCCTCATAGAGATGGAAACTAATGGCTAATGGGGTTCAGATAAACATCACATTTTGCCCGATTTTGTAATGGAAGATTTATGATGTTGAAAACAAGCAATTACTAGTGTATAAGTGTATTCCTACACTATTAATAGTAAACCACACCTGCAGACTTTTATCCATCTGCTGCAGCAGTAATGTGCTGTAAAACCTGATATCTCTATCGTAAGTGCTGTGGAAACCGTTAAAGGTTTACATTTGTTTTTTTGTTGGTCTGATCCTGATTGGTTAGCGCATATCACACTATTTATTCAGTAAAACCATCTTGAACTTAGGGGCAAATGATGGTTTGCTTGTTTTTAACTGCTGATACAAAACTGTAAAGAGCATAAGAGCCCAAACGAAAATCTTCTCAGATATGTCAAAACATGACCCATTTATTTCACCTTTTTTCACCCACTTCTGTTCTGATTCTCTGACATTTGCTTCACATGACAGAGCGCACAAAGCTTCCAGTTTTCTCAGAGGTGGCAGATGTAGGCTATCCTCCACCTCTCTCTCTCTCTGTGCTCCCGTCTTACTCTCTCCTGATTGTAAGTCAAATGGTGTTTCCTTACCTGAGAGAAAAAATATGTGTCATGGAGAATCCTGAAGCTGTAGCCTTTTGACAGAAAGTGCTTTCATTTGAAAGAAAAATCTGTCCTTGTTAAGAAAACACTGTTAAAATGTGCTTCTGAGGGTGTTAAATCAAGGACTGAAACACAAATGCACAGCAGACTCGTCAAGTGTGTCATTTATTTTTAATTTAAACTCACAATTGGCTTAAGATCTATCATGCAAACTCTACAGTAGGTGGGATTACGTATAATATATAGACCTTGAACATTTATCTTCTCACTTTTTTTGTTTAATCACATGTAAAGTTGGCATGACCTTGTTTGGAGATTAATTTCATTCTAGGCAGCCTTTGTTCAGACACTTCAAGGACATACAACTCAATTAACCTGACAGAGCTTTTTGTGATTGATTTTTTTTTCTAGGTTCTAAAAATATTACAGCCAATATTCAGTCTAGTTCTAAGCATTGCATGATTTTTTTGTGTTGTTTAATGCGCTGTCAGAAAGTCTATGGAGTGAAGGCATCTCTTTGCCTCTGTCAGCACCATCTGGCCTCTCGTTGGAACAATGACAGTATTATTTTATCAATAATCCAACTTTATTAGAGGAGCCTGAGCTTCATCCATCAATGCCCTAATCCAATAAACCCTTCCTGTCGCTGCGTCTAATGATCCCATACTGGACATTCTCCAGTTGGTTGATTTAGATCCAAGTACTGCTATTCCGTGAACATCTTAACTGGCTGTGTCTCTCTGCTGTTTCCCCCTTGTTCAACTGATGCAAATATCAAATTAAAGAACTCGGTCTCACGTGGAGCCTTGTTGCCTAGCAACTACTGTCATCGACCATGATGCGACCTCGCTCTTTCCCCTACGCTTTATCCCTGCAGAAGCAGGAAGACAACTACCCCCCCTTTTGCTCCTCACTTTAATAACCGAATCACACTTCATTCAAAGAGTTAAGCCTCAGCTGATATTAGTGAGGCCTCCGCAGTGGGAATAACTCACCAGTTGCTCTGTCACCTTCAGCTGTAGAAGCCAGGTGTGTCCTGGCAGCTATTTAGTGGAAATTACTGATATATTTTCCACTCTCAAGATGTTTTTGTGTTTGATCCAACTTAAAAAATTAAAACAGGAGAAATCTGTTTTATTGTACTTTTTAGATTTTGAAGGGAAGTTTTTTATTTTTAAATATTCTATGTTGATCTTTTTTTTTTTTCCCTTTTCTTTTAACCCTTTAAGTCTTCTCTGTATTTCAGGAATCTGGCGATATGACTAGATTGAAATGAACAGCTGTCTGTTCTTATTTCCATCTTAAGTCAAAAAGACATCAGCACCAAACAGGGAGCCAGCTGTTTGTTGTTGGCTGCAAATGTTGAGCATGAGTTGTCATGCATTACTAGTGTCTGATGGTACTGCAGTCTGTGAATTACTGTTGTTTTCTATGGAAATTATGCATTTTTTTTTATCTGCGGCTTATTCGAATGAAGTGGGTCCATCTGGTTCCTTCTGTGCTCCTGTTTATCTGTGCCTTGCACATCTATTCATAGATGGACTTATTTACATATTGTTACATTTAAACCACAAACGGCTGTATTTTAGTGGGTTTCTGTGTGACAGACCAACACAAAGTAGCATATGTGTAAAAGAAATATGATTAGCATAAATCCTAATCTCTAATCTGCTTCCCGCTATTCAGTTATCTTTAAAAGTAACGAAAAGCTGACCAGATTAGGTCCATCTTACGCAGATTGCTATCCTTGCACGCCACTCTTTACTCAAACTCCTTACAACAGGCCTAACCAACCTCTTTAAGGCTGAGGGCTACTTCATGGGTACTGTGTTATAGGATACCAATACTGACCTATGAACTGGAGGGATCAACGTACTTCTAAAATGAATTCATAATAGACATATTTTTATTTTTCCTTTTAATTTCTAATTTTCTTTGAGATATTTTATTTTGAAATCTCTATAAATGTATAAAGTATTAATGCTTACTTTATATGATGAAATGCATGATTAATGATTAAAAAAGACTTTGCCCGATGTTGAATTATTTTGTTTTCAGAAGAAACTGAGGGCACTTGATGTGGCCCTTGAGGGGCCCTTGGTACCCGCTGGCACCGTGGTAGTGACCAAACCTAAATCAGACCAAGACACAGGAGTGGCACAGACCACAGTCTCAAGGGTGACACAGGGGTGACTGTGCTGGTCTATTGCACGGATCCCGATGAAATACACTAAAGTTTATATTTCTAGAACAATGTGAAATTATTATATGTCACAAATGATCTAGAAAGGCAGGATTATAGTAAAGCGGTTTCTAATGTGGGAAAACCACGACAGAATGAAGAGAAAAATTGTGGTAAGGAAAATTTGATTTTTTTTCCATTATCAAAAAGATAAAATATTAACATTGAGATTAAATGTAATTTTTAATAATGCATAATGTTATTAAAAAACCATGGGGATTTAAAACTGAACTTTAGGCCGACTGTGTTAAAAAAGATGATTCCACGTGGCTGATAAGGTACTGAAATACCTTCTCCCTTTTGCAGCAATATAGTGTGTCAGTCTGATTTTTTTAACTTTAAAGATGCTCAAAATAAAACATAGAGCACCTCCACAAGAGGACAATAGCATTCGTATGATACTGACAGACATTAAGCCCCGCCCTTCTTCTAGACGGACACTTGAGGGGTTCTTTGTCTTTGTTCTGTTTTTTCATCAACAGTTTGTTTAAATATTTGCTATTCAGTTGGAATATAATATCATTTTAAAAAAGGTTAGTATAATTATCCTAAAAATTTTAATAATTTAACTAGAATAAAATAAGCAAAACATTAAGAAAGTAGATTTGTATTTATTTATTTATTTTTTAAATTTTTTGTAGTGTTGTCTGTTAGTTTGCAAAGGAGGGGGTATAGTACATATGCAGAGAGGGAGATAAAATATCGTACAATTAAAGTCACTAATCTTCGAAACTACTAACGGTTGAATCCTTAAATTCAGATTTTATACCTAAATGTAATCCGTATTTAAGTAGTTGGGATGCTCTCTCAGAAAAACTATTCTCCTACATATTCAATCACATGTAGCTTCTTCTGAGGCTCGTTTCTGAGGCTCTCTGAGGAGGGTTCATACTGACAGCAGAGCAGGCAGCAACAGCAGGATGTCACTTGGATTGATGCCTACACACCGTAGCTCTGTTGGCGTCTTGCTGTAGAGAGACTTTGAGGAAAACATCTGAAGTCTGATAAAAAAACATCACTTAGGGATGATAGAAAAATATATACTTCACTGCATGTGGTCAAAGGCTATTCAAGATGTGCTTGTTATCATTGTATCCGAGGAGCATTATTCACTTACCAGAATAATACTCTCACACACACAAATATGTAGGCTTAGTTTTGGATGGAAAAACACTCCACAGTCTCATTTTTATCTTGGCTTTGAAGAAAAGGCTTCTCTGTGGGTTTTCTCCAGGTATTTCCCACAACTAAAGAGATGCAACCTATAGAGTGGAAGGGATTGTAAAGTGACCATTGTTTTGGTGCATCATTTAAAGCATTAAACGTGTAACGATTGACGTCCAAAACATTGGCTATTGTTAGACTAAAATCTTTTTTTAAATAACCAAAAAAAACCCGTAACAAATCAAGCATTTGGAGACCAAAGAAGCATCTGACCAGCAGAGCAGTTGGCTGAAACCACTAAGTGGGTTTTTATGCTGGCAAACTATACAGGACAACCAGTAACTCTACAGTAAGCTTCTCTAAAAAACAAAAAATAGGATCTAAATAGTGGCCCACTGGTGGTTGTCCTATGAATGAAAGGAGGTAAGGTTATAGCTGGTCAACCAGTCAGGTTGGAAATTACAAATATGGTTTAGGGGAGATTATTCTGTAAACATAAAAAAAAATACCTGTGATTCCAATCAGCATTGTTAGTTAGAAAATTCATATGTGATGCAATGATTCTGTGGAACTATCATAGTTTGGATCCTGTTTACTTTTCTTTGGATGATGACATTATAAATCTTTGCTTTATTCAAGTTATTTAGTAAAACAACCTTTGATCATTATTTACAAGATATTTATCTATTTTGAATCCAACTCAAACTGCATCAGATAACCTAGAAGTAGATTCTGATTTCTGCTATGTTGATCCCTGAAATGAGAGAGAAGGAAAAATCTGTTTGTTTTTCTACTTCCAGATATCTAGGTCACTGAGGATAGCCGAGGAAGAGAAAAAAGCAACAGTGAAAAAAGACTCAAATCAATCCTTAAAGTTGAAGTTTTGAGCTACAGTCTGCTGAGGGAATAATTTGAATAAAAAAATGTGGATTGGTCATCATGATTATTTGATTTTTAAATTGCAGGATATTAAAGTAGGATTAAATCTAAAAATAACAATAGCATGAATAAAGGTTACAAGATAATTTGTCAGAAATAGAATATGAAACAGGAAACACAACTTGGCTTAAAACCAACCTTAACTATTCGCATCACCCTCCAAAAACCAACTCCATGGTTAAACAGATCGGTGGAAGTAGACTTGCACCAGTCCCTCAGTATTGCTCAGTAATCGCATAATTTTCACGTGATTGGCTATGATCACAGTGAGCCAGTCATTATGAAAACCACAGATTTTAAGCTCTGGTCATATTGTTGTTGCTCAGTTTTTTTTCTGAGCGGACATGCATCTTTCTTCTACGCTTAGTCCATTTTTGTTTTGGTCAGAATGCCGAAAACTGCGGGCTGAATCACCCGGAAAACAGAGGGAAGGGGAGACATTCCTCCTAAGAACATTCCCAGGTCATGCTTTGTCGACTTTATTTTTCCTATCTTTTATTTTGATTTAAAAAAAAACCTTGTGTCCGCTTTAGAGAGGACAGAGAAGCTTGACAGAATTGATTTGAAGAAATTGATTTGTTTTTTTCTTAAATAATGTAATGCGGGAGTGGCGGTTTAATGGATAGGGCATAGGGTTTGGAATCTTCAGGTTCTGGGTTCGAGGCCTATTCCCATAGACTATCACTCTGGCTTTCTGAGCAAGACATAACATTTTTCATTTCTTTGTCATAATATGGTCACAGCTAGCCATTTTTCAGCACTGAATTTATTGAAAACTGAATGGATCAAGTTCAATGCTGATTTAGAAAAATAACTAAATACAAGAGATTAGCACTTAATTAGACCTAATGACACTAAAAACAATGAAACATGCCAGAAATAAAAGGTTTTGAGCTTGGATCAAAATTTCAAAACCAACAAAAAGTTTTTTTTTTATATAAACCTGCAATTATTTTGAGAGCTTTGTCATATTAAAGGGTTTCAAGTTAAGCTCAAGCATTTTCAATAAAAAGATAAAAAAACCCTATTGGTTGGGGCATGGGGCTTGGAATCCTGAGGTTCTGGGTTCGAGCCCCATTCCCGCAGTCTGCCACTTTGGGTCCCTGAGCAAGACCCTTAACCCCTGGGCGCCCCACAATGGCACCCCACTAGTCCCCAAGGGGATGGGTTAAATGCACAGGTAAACTTCTTCAGTGTGAGATAAATTAAGTTTAATGATTTTTATTTTTATTATATATCAAGGCTAAAGTCTTCACTCACATGGCAAGATTGTTCATTCATTCAGCAGTTGAATTGGATCAGTTTCGGATATCTGCCGATACACTCAGCCTAGCTATTAGTTTCAGATTGGATCAGGGGAAAAAATGGATCGGTGCAGCTCTACTTGAGTCAGAGGTTGAAATTCACCTTCTTACAGGAAAGCGGTCCCAAATAGCCAGATCTACAATCCAGAGGTTAAAATACAGGTCAAGAGCAATGTTTCCTCCATATCCTTAGCTTCATATTTTAATAGCTAAATGAACTCCTCAAAGTCTGTTAATGATACGTTTTGTGACAGAGGTCCCCCTCCCACCAGGATAAAAGCACTGAATACACAGCAATAGTTAAATTAGATTGCTTTAGATTAATGCATATGTTTTAGAATGGCAGTCAAAGGGCAGACCTAAAACCAAATGAGAATTTGTGGCAGAACTTTAAAACCATTGTTTACATAAAAACTCTATTTAGTCCAACTGGACTTGAGTTCTTTTGCAAAGTGATTAGTGTAAAAGGATTTCTTTGGTTTTGCCCAATTCATTAACAGGAAGAATCTGAAAGGCTGTAATGAAAAGATGTCTCAGTTTATTGCAACATCAATAGAGACGTTTTATGATGCCTACCTTACACACAGTTAGTCAACTTTTACTAACTAGACAGGTTTTATTAGTAGCGAGGTTTGTTAATGAGGGTTCTTGGAATCTGACAAGATTTTTGACAAGAATCTGGAGCTACGTGAGTCGAATGTGACTGGTGCAGCCAAGCTAGGTTCTGACAGCACAGATCTGTCTTTATTGTTTATCGCTGAGAGAAAAATGTGATAGTGCCTGTGGAACTATTCATTCTCCATTGATGTAAACGAGCCATCATATCTGTCCAGCAGCTCCAGTTGTAATCAGGTTTTTAAGCAGTCTGGCAAAGAAATTTAAAGTTATAATGTAACTAAGCTTAAAAGGACACTAAATGACATTCTGGGAACCTTTTATGGAGGCAGTCATTGGATGACCGTTTCTGATAATTGCGTTGTCCAGGGTCCTTACCTCTCATATATTTTTTCTTTTTGCCTGCACCCCTCCTCTCTCCTAGGAGAGCTGTGGCGTTTGGAGGACGACATGGAAGGAGATGATGAGACTGAGCAGAGTGGCCGCACCGAGGCCCGTCCTCGGTCCCAGTCTCCCTTCTCCCACTTCAGGGCACGAGCTGCCTACCTCCGGAAGAGCATGTCGGCTGATGACCACCTGGACATGGGTCTGGACTACAGCTCAGGGAGAACAGCTGAGGGCAAGTCAAGTCGCAGCAATAAGGGGAAGCTGAAGAGAAAATTTGTAAGTGGAAACTTTTACTTGTTTTCTGAGTTTTGCAAGGAAGTAGATCTCTAAAGCGATGGACATTTTTTTGTTGCAATTTCTAAAAAACAAACACTAAAAGAAACATGTCCATCCTAAGGAATTGAGCAGCTCTTTGAGTTCATTCAAAGTAGCATTTGCTCCATCTGCATGTCGTGCATCCCTGATTTTAAAACTTAAAACTGCATTTAGTAACAGGATAAAAAAAAACAGTATAAAAAACGAAAAAAAATATCATCTGTTTCTAATCCACAAACAAAAATAGCATCCCTTATGACTCTCTGGTCAGCATGACAGCAACTTCTTTTGTTACTGACTGTCCAAGATGCAAATATAACTATTTCCAGTATTAGAGAGGAGTAAAATGAAAATAAAGTCTGTAGAAAGAATTGTTAAATAGTTATTTGAAGATAAATGTTTTCTGTCACACATCGAGATATATCTGATGTTCAAATATAAAAAATGTCTATACTCTGAAAAGTATCAAAAAATAATCCGTTTCCAGATACATTACTAATTTGGCATCGATAAGAAATGCACCGGTCAGGATTTTTGAAGCAGATCACTGATGACAAAAAATGTCAAGGGCTGGTCCAAAAGAACTAAAGCCTAGTGTTAGGATAATTATCATTGAAGATGTGTGAGTTTATTACATCTAGGTATTGGCAGCCTGTTGCGTGTCTGAACTGATTTGGACAGTTCCTCTGTCTAGATATACAGTTATAATCTTCATTTTGTACGTGGCAAAGATTTGGAAATGGAATGAGAGCGGTGTCCTTCAGCTAAGAACAAGGTGTAATATTTTGATACGGCTGGAGCCATGGATGCCTAATGATCTGCTAAGGTGTATGATGTAAAATAAGATGATGTGGCAGACTGGAGATGTATAAAATGCCTCTTTAACTGTTAATCGGGCCACTTTCTGAGACGTGAGCCCGAAGGTAAGCAGATGCCTTCTGTAAATTCTAAACAATTTCTCTGATATGAGTAAGATTACAATTTCTATCAGAATCTGTTGTAATGTCTCCTGGTTATTTAATACATATAAGTTATGAAGTGTTATTTAAAGAGTTTGTCGCAAGTGATCTCTTTTCAGGGAAAAGAACCAGAAAGATAGATCGTCATGGTGCATACACAGAGCCCATCTTTAGCACTAGTTAGACTAAATGGAGAGTTTCTTTAATGACAGGTCAGTCAATCACAGGAAAATCGGCTGATTGACCAGTGCAAATCTGTTATCGATTGTGTTATTTACATATTTTTTCTATTGTTATTTTTAGATTTCTAGATTATTTGCACATTTTAACCATAACACCTTAAACAACCTTTAAAATATTGTGAAGTTGTGATATTTTTGGCGGTGTTTATTTAGCATTTATTTGTACATTTATTTATTAATAATAACTGTAATTCTGTTAGAAAAGGTGGTTCCATGTTGAGATTGGAAACAGTGAGTTTTTCATGTTAAAAAAATATATATTTTATACCTGTGATTGTTTGGGATTACTATCCTCCATGGTATGGAAAATAAATCCCTGGATGTTGATATCGAGTTTGGAATTGTAGTGAAGTGAAAACACTATTCTGCTAGAGAGCGAGATGCTCAGCAGATACCAGGAAGACAGAACAGTATACAGCACTTCATAATGCTCTTTTTTTTTCTTTTAAGCTTTTGACCTTAATCTTTCATGTTACAAACTTTCTGCAACCTTTTAGAAATTCTTGTTAAGTAGAAGATCTGGTTATTTCAGTCTCCAACATACCGCAAAATAACAAAATAAATCTAAGTTGTATAATTCTGATGCTTTCTAAGGTGAAATAAAGGGAGGTTATATGTTAAGGTAATAGCTTTTTAAGCATTGAGTCATCTACACTGCAGGTCAAGTGCTGCAGCTGTGAAGAAGGGCTCTTTACCTTTAAGGGGACGTAGCAGTTAAATAAAAAATAGCAATGTTGGATGCTAGAACCAGAAATCTATATCTATCTTTATCTATCTTTGTATAAATTATCTCTCTCTGCTCCTAAAATAAGAAAAACTTTAGAATTTGAAATGTAATTTCTCTTGTTATTGTTTATATTTATTTTTCAGTTATATTTTAATTATAAAATGACCAATAGTTTGATTTAGTAATTGAAAAAACTATTTTGTTTTACAAAACACGGCAATATGCTGAGATTTCAGGAAGCTAGCAGGAAGTAAAGAGAACAATTGAAGATTAAAAAGTCTAATTTTTGGAGCAAAATTGTATTTTAAGCAGCAAAATTCTATTTTAAGCAGCTCGAAAACTTAAGAAGAGACCTACAGTATACATTAAAGGACCTGGAGGGGTGAAAAAACATTATAATTAAATGTATTCACATTTTTTTTTTGTTATTTGCCTTAACACAGTTTATTTTAGTTCAAAATGTAAAAACGCAGGATTATTGGTGTTTTTATCCCAGGCTCTTTGACTCTAATCTCACCAGTAAAGTATAATGGCCACCCTTATTAATGAAATGAATCTTAAATGGCTGTACTGTATATTACTTTGTGCCTTCTGGGTGTGATTGCTTTTAGCATTTGCAGGAATCCTGATGAACAGGCATTAAACATTAAAGACCTTTTTATTGTCCTGTGGTCATTTAATCAGGAAACGTTAGACCCCATTACCAGCCCAAACTTTGTAATTGACTCTTCAAGGCAGAAGTGCAACAGGACACCTGCGTAGGTAGGAGACAGCTGGGAGGTTAAATTTGAAGCAGTTCATATTTCCTCAGATGCTGAAGTTTGATGGACGTAAATATGGCTGCAAGGAGGATTTTACTCTGATGACTGAACTTTTTTTCATCCTAATTTTCTTATAATCTTGAATAGAGATCCATAAAGTAAAAGCCATCTGGATTTACGTGTCTGTGCACAAAAGTCTGTTTAGTAGCCAAACGAAATGGGAACAGCTCTGGATGTGATGTCCTGCCGCCTATGTTTTGGGGTGAGAGCTCATCCATTCTTCTCTTAAAGTATCTGGCAGCATTAGAGGCACTCAGAGATACCTCATTAAAACATAATTCCTGCTTTTAATATAGCAATATGGCATTACATTAATTGGTTTATTCTATTACACAGGATAATGTATCAGGTGAATGCTTTTATTCATGAAGCTTTTTTGTACTCCAGCATGAAAAATAGCACATCTCTGCACCACTTGGGGAAAATGGCATAGAGAAAAGCATTATAAAAGAGCCGCAGGAAAGCAAGTTCTATAAGGCTATAATGTGTTTCTGTTTCCCACTCTTATAACCACTCTGCATACATTCCTTTCAATAAAACTGTAAGAAATGTCCCTTTCAAAAAATCCAGACAGAACTGTTAGCCGGACCATCTTTCATCTACACTTTCTGTCTTTTACAACCCTGAATTTTCTGTTACTTTAGTAAAAAGTCAAAGCATTGCTTTTTTTTTATTTGCTATGAATGTAACAGTATGTCAGGTTCTTGGGTTTGTAATCTTTTTGCTCCACTGGCCTCATGAAAACTGCAGCTTTGCCTGACAGCAACAGTTTATTGTCTGTCTATTGTTTTACTGCAGAGGTTTTACTGTGACACGGCGGAGCAGTGGTGACTTAATATGCGATCAGAGAAACGGAGCAGCCTGCCCTCATGGACTGAAGTGTCTCTGTGCTAAATCATGCTCTTGTAAAATACTAGCAAAAGTAGTTAAAGAAAGTTGCAGCACATTTAGTGATGCCTGGGAAGGTTTTCTAATAATACATTTTTAATAGCAGTCACAGACTTAAGATGTTATTTAAAAATTCTGAATAAAATATTTTGCCATAAATTTCGAGTAGCTGACTTACTGCTGTGAATCTTATCAGGCCATGTTTTTTTTGTTTTTTTGCCAAAGCAGGTTTAAATGATCCACACATGACAAACAGGTTGGATTGAAATACCTGTGAGATTTGAACCATTTTCCCCTTGTTTGTAAGGATTTTGGAAACTTCTTTTTTCATTGAGCTAAAGCTCCCTGATTGATTTATTTTTTTTATGATAGAATTTTAACAGAAACCAGTAAAGTTTATTTTTTAACAAGTTTAACTTGGTGCTTGGTTGATTTAAAACCCTTTAATCTGACAAAATTCTCAAAATAATTGCAGGTTCATATATAAAAACAAATATTTGTTATTTTTTAAATTTTAATCCAAGTTCATAACCTTACATTTCTGGTATATTTCATAGTTTTAAGCCTCATTAGATCTAATTAAAGGCTAAAATCTTGTATTTCTGGGACCACAAACACCAACTAAACTTTTAAGATCTACATTGAACTTGATCCATTCATTTTAAAATATAATCAATGCTGACTAAATGGTCATTAGCTGCTGTTTGGAATAATGGACAAGGATTTTAATGCAAAACATGACGAAAACTTAACAAGCTGCACTGCAATGTGCCAAAGACAGAATATATAGCTGGATCTCAGCCAAGGGTAGTTTATTTAGCAGCTGCTTTGACTGATAATAGAAACAAAAAACTGAACAGACACAAAAATACAGAGATTTTTTATTTTGCTGGGATTTCTTGTGATGTTTGAATAACCAGAGGCAATTTAGAGAGGAGCCTAACTTTTTCGATTTATAACAGGGTTTTGATTAATTTATTCTCTTCACGTTCTGCTGTCATTCAGCTTTTAAATACGACCCTGGCCCAAACCTCCTGTTTCAAATGATAAAACTGTGCCCTGATATGAGTGGGCAAAAACCTAATGGAAAGCATTAGCGATGATGTACTTTATCCTGGAGGAGATTGTTTATTTATGTGTTGATCAGTGTCTTGCAGTTAAGTAATCCCCGACTTTCTGTAATAATAAAGCAACAAATATGAAATGATGTTGAAGCCGATTTGTGTTTGCTGCTTATTAAGAGAAGTAAAAATGTAAAACAACTAAAGCAGATGTGTGCTTGTAGGTTACAACACACACGTGTCATGAATGCTCAATGAGGTAA